CCAGGAGAAGTCAGGGGATCCCAGGAGAAGGAAAACTGTCCCAAATGGAATTCCTACATCAGGATTTCCACTAATTAATCACCGTTATCGTGGTTTGAAGAATTCCAGAAGGAAAACAATTCCAAATAGAATTCCTACATCAGAATCTCCCACTGATTCCCACCATTATCACGGCTCGGAGGATCCCAGGGGAAGGAAAACTCTCCCACATGGAATTCCTACATCAGGATTTCCACTAATCAATCACCGTTATCGTGGTTTGAAGAATTCTAGGAGAAGGAAAACGATTCCAAATGGAATTATTCCATCAGGATTCTCCCACTGATTCCCACCATCATCGTGGCTTGGAGGATCCCAGGGGAAGGAAAACCCTCCCAAATGGAATTCCTACGCCACGATTTTCCACTAATTAATCCCCACTACCGTGGTTCGAAGAATTCCGGGAGAAGCCCAAACCCTCCCCCCCCCGCCACGGATTTTCCCGCCGTTCCCGAGGGCCCCCCTCACCTTGCTCCAACCTCTTCATCTGCTGGATCTGATCCACGGTTTTCCGGAGGATCTTGCATTTGTCGGGTTTGACGCTCAGGGTGTCGATGTCCCCGATGTTGGCCGACAGCAGCTCCGCCAGCTCCTCCAGGTACTTGTGCTCCTGCTCCCGGCGCCGCTTCTCCGCGCTGGCAAAAGAGGGGGAAAAATCCGTCACGTCCACGGGAATTCGGGGCTTTTAGCCCTTTATCCGGCTTCGGCGCGCCCGGAAACGGGGAAAAGGAGGTGGGAAAACGAGACGCGGTGACCGGGATATATCCCAGATTTCTGATTTTGGGATGTACCCTGATAGATCCCAAATATCCCATTTGTATCTTGTTTTGGGATGGATCCTGATAGATCCCAAATCTATCAGATTTTGGGATATATCTCGATCCATCCCAAATATCCCATTTAGACCTTATTTTGGGATGTATCCCGATATATCCCAAATATCTGATTTCTAACTTATTTTGGGATGTACCCTGATAGATCCCAAATATCTGATTTCTATCTTATTTTGGGATGTACCCTGATAGATCCCAAATATCTGATTTCTATCTTATTTTGGGATGTACCCTGTTAGATCCCAAATATCTGATTTCTATCTTA